GGCAGCTGCAACAGCAGCCACAGCAATAACAGCCTGAAGAGGCTGAGCATGCACTCTGGCCCCAGGTTGCGACCCCAATACCCTCCATCTCTCCGGCTGCCGAATTATCAGTCTCGGTTTCAGGATTCAGATTGCATAGTTGCCCCTCTGTATTTGGCGATAATCGTGGCTCCACTTGAATAGGGGTTGCGGGATTGGGTTTCTTAGTGGAGAGAAGAGCAGGGCTGTCTGGAGGTAAGCGGTAAGCTTCTAGAAGAGTAGATACGCCTGATTGAGAGAAGATGGGCAAATTCATAGTCATAGAAGGCAAGTGACACGAAGAATGAAGTAGGTTGTCGATTGGGCGAAGCGTATCACCAAGAGTAATTCCCTGGATCTCGAAAAGTGAGTAGCAACGTCGGAGACCAGAAGGCGTATGGTTCTGGAAGAGAATTTGAACGAAACATTATTAATAACTGCGATGTAAAAAACAGAGCTCACTGTATAAATAAACTGTCTGAGATTTTGCTTTTAATGCTGATGCCAACGTCTGAGTACAGCAACTGAAGTCACGGGTAGCATAAAATGTAAAGTTTAGCTCAGAAAAACTACCCATTGGGATAGATTAAAAAACCCTTTACACTATTAAGAAGTAGGATAAATATAGAGCTATATCGGGAAATATAAGTAGTTGGATAAATCTGCTCGATTACTGATGCTGCTATCCTGAAAAGCGAAATAGTAAGTGAAGTATGAGAGGGAAGATTAATTATTCTAACGATTTCCTCTAATATGCCTTATTTTTGATAATATTCATATATTTAAATTAAGTTATCACAAGGTTTAATGAGCAAGTGGTATCATCTGAAGGGAGACCTGTGAATCATATATAAGGCGTTATCTGAACTATAAGTAGATGCCAATGTAATACAGGGAATGCAATGCGAATAATACAGGACACGAGATGGAGTGGTATGAAATCACAAATCCAAATGAGCATGGACGTATCACTACAGAAGATTAAGTAATCGAAATAAAGCAGCAAACCTATCAAAATTATGAATAGAAGAAACGAAATTAGGAAATAGCGGAAATGCTTTTGGGTAGAATTAAGATAAAGCAAGACGAAAAACCGAGTAAGAAAGTTGATTCGCCTCCAAGTATGCTAGGGCTCTAGTATCACAAAGGACTCACGAGCATAACACGCACGCACACACATACACATACACAAACACATACACAAACATAATAGATGGGCAACAATATACTAGAAGACGCTTCAAAATAGAGAATTAAACTCTAGGTGATTTTAGCCACATCTGCAGCATACTTTTCTTATCACTAGGCATATAAGAATGAGCATTAAGTGGGTAACCAAATCATGGGATACCCAATGAGATAGAGAAATTAGGTTATAAGTAGGTACACTGTCAGCGGAACGCCATTCTGGGCTGTTTAGTTAATTCCTTCAAAAAGTAGTTTCACTATTTGACGATAAAAGTTCAGCCCGGATCCATGAGGATCACATATTTATGAATAAAGGGCTTGTTAGAACAATTCAGCAAGCAAGGGTAGGAGGCAATCTTCCCCTGTCTTACAATGAGGCCGGTTCAGAATAGTTTCCGCCCAACTTTCCGTACAAAACCAAAGAACTGATGACATTAAATCAATGAGGTAAAAAAACAGCTTTTAATCGGCTATCAAAAGCTGGCTATGATGCAGACAAGACCCAACAGCGAAATAAAATCGTAAATTTAGGAAAATTAACTGGGTTGAAAAAATATCACGCGATCAACAAAGCGAGGACGATGACTACATCAGAGGTATTAAGATTAAGCCAGTTGTTCCAGAATGCAAGTCTCTTCAGGTACTGCTAAGCAAAATAACTTTATCAATTCTCGTGAAGAATGTCATGCCAATTGAGCTCACTTCGAGTTTTGATGAGTTCGAGTTAGGAGCCTCAGAAGTTAATTCAACTTTGTCGCTGCCAAGGGAGTCGATATATGCTATTTCGTCTTCGTCATGTTCCTTCACTATACTGTACAAAGATTCTTCCATCTGGTCCGCCGGATGAGACTGATTATGCTGCTGATTCGAGATTCTGTCAGTTGGTTGACACTGGGACGCAGTTGTGGAACCCACAGGTCCACAGCTGTCACGTCTCGTGCTTCGACTGGCAAATGACTCGTTGCGACTCGGAGCAGCGGACTGAGGCAGAGGAGGCAATGGCTGGGCAAACAATCGCTGGCTGGGCTGCGGGAGGAAAGTTGAGGAACGTGATTCAAGGAAAGCACCAGTAGAGTCGTAGATGCTTGGAGGAGATAACAGAGGAGGATGTGGCAGATGCGATGAAGAGGCCAAGCTCCAGCGTCGCTTTGTGTCAGGACGATCTGGCCATTGCAGAGGACTGGATGCCTGGGTCAGTGACAAACCGGTCTTTGTAGAAAGAGCATTTGTTCCTGTAGGTGCCTTGGAAGGCGGACGTGTATTTGGAGGACAGACTTCATCGTAGACATGGTCTGAGTTGCTGCTTCGGCCAGACAACGAAGACAGGGAAGGGGTTGGTGCCTCAGAACAGTTTGATAGAGAGAAAGCACGCTCAGTCTTTCGGCCAAAGCCAGGGTTCTGGAAAGTATGCATAGATTCTGGGAAGCAAAGTATACATAATTAAGAGTCATTAACTTGATAATAGCGAGTTTTGACATTTGAGGCGAAAAATCAAGATACCAATTAGTATCTCTATTACTAAACGATATAACTTTTTTGTGAAGAGGATAAATCATATAAATATGATAGCTAAATAAATAATTCTGAGGAGCTTCCGAGTTCCACGCTTTTACTGGCAATTTAGGCATTCAGAAAAAAGGATTCCCAACAATAGATTTTTTGTTGAGTAGACCAAGTCATTAGAGTATTAAATTAACAACCATAGACATAGAGATGAGGCTAAAATAGATTACAAGTGAGATAGACTCCATATACCTGGATAGGAAGGCCTTGTTATATTTAGATCAGATATACTAGCGTTCTGCCGCAGCAGCTGACAATCGGAGGAATCCACCTGCTCCACCGGAAGTTGTGGCAACTGTCTTCTACTAGTGGCAGCTGAAGAGACTGTTGGCCCATGCATCAGGTTTGGGTGATTATGAGGTCCGGAAGATAGTCCTGGCGAAGGCGCTGCTGCCAGAGCTTTAGTCGGCCCAGTTGGAGCCGGTTGGTCAACACAAGCGAAAGGAATGATACCAAGGGCTTGTATAAAGCCACGGATCCAAGCACCCATCAACAGCTTATCAGTAACGTGGAAGTGAAGCAAGGCACCCGGCGAAATCGTTGGAGCCGCGAGGCGAAGGGCGGATCGACGTCGTTTGTCGCCTGCCAGCCCCAGCTCAACAAGCCCCGGCTCCAAGGAGAGACTGAAGAGTGGAGCAACGGAAGCGACCGGTTGTCCATTTGAGGTAGGAGATGAAATGTCATCAGGACGATGGGAGGAGCGAAATATTTCCAGAAGAGAGCGGCGAAGGCAACACCAATGAGAACTCCAAGGGACACGGCCGGGAATGCAGATGAAAGTTTCGCCTATTTGGATTTAAAAAATGAGGTTGAAGAAAACGTATTACAGATATTGAAATTAATTTTAATATTTAAAGAAATAAAATGTGAGGTTTATACTATGTAGACAGAAGGGTATTCGGATGTGAGTTTGAAGATTTCGGGAATAGGCCAGGAATATCATAATATACTATTAAGTATGTCATATAAACTTTCACTCAACATACTCAGGCATAGAAGACATCATCTCTCAGAGGATATTATTATAAATAAAGGGATTAAGGCCACAGCAATATTTGCCTGAAGTGGTGAGTTACAGTGAAATACCATAAGTATTATAGGACAAAAGGTAAAAAAGCCTTTGTACAGTCTAGTTCCATGGAAGAGAGAATAAGAACGATAAAATCAAATTTAAGGAAGGTGTTGGCATACCCTTAATTTCGTTTTACGAGGGGAAGGAAGTAAAAAAGTGGCCTCAGCAAAGACAAAATAATAATGGAAGTAAGACCTCAGCAACCAGTCCAGCGACTCGGATGAATTTATTCTGAGCTTTCGTCTGTACCATTGCGACAGCCTGGGAGCCAATGTAAGGATATATTTCCACTCATCTCGTCAAAAAAACAGAGGGTACGCATATACTAATCTATTAGGGTATTCTTCGAAACCCAGGTTCTTATAGAGATTGTAAATTCAAGCTTATAAGTAAATTAGGCATTATACGGCAGTATTAAAAATACACAGAAGTAATATTATGATCAATAGATAAAAGGGCGGAATAAATACTATATATAAAAGGAGAATGAGTATAATAAAGGAAATGCTTTTCCTGCCTGGTGCTAGTTAAAAATATTTTATTGATAAAGATATGTTAGTTAGGCATTTTTAAGATCTGAAATATAGGATAAGATTGAAGATAAATGGCAACAATTCAAGTGATCTGCAAGGGAGCAAGCATCCATCGCGAGTTGATTTCACCCACCAGCAATGACGATATCCAAAGCATTAGCATTAAGCACCGGGTTAAGATTAATGCTGGCCGCCCCTGGAGCAACTGAATCACCCGGTAAAAGCTTGGAACCAAATACGGTTGCTGCCACAACAACCGGACTATCGTTCTCTCGATCTTTTTGGGCCAGATTGCAGGTCATTAGGGGGCCAGGTTGAGGCGCATAATCACTGCCGTTGGCAACATTGTCGAGTAATCTGCAATCAACGATTCTAGCGCTAGTACGTTCAGTCAAATTAGGGCTCTCCTGTCGCGAAAGCGTGTTGTGGGCTGAAGGTCCAGTGAACGTCGTTTCGTAATTATCCTCCTCCAACACGCCCTCCTTATCCCGACTGATAGATGTGACCTCTTCAAAACATAAAGAGGTGGGCCCTGCTGAAGTCTGATTTTCTACGAAGGGAGCCTTTGAGCAATTAGGTCCATTGTCGACAGAATCAGCAAGAGAGGAATGTTGAGCCTTAGGTGCAGTCGAAGGAATCAATCCTGAGGACGCAGACTGGACAATATAATCATCAGAGAGTGGAGGAACAGTAGAATGCCGCTTGTTGTAAACCTCTTCGGTGGCAAAAAACTAAAAATTCGTGAAAGAAAGCAAAATCGTATGAGACTTAAAAAGTAATTAATTCAAAATTAATGTGATCCATTTGGTTGAAGGATATTTGCTTCTAATGAAATAGAACATGACAGTTCATCCTCAGTTCACGAATTAACGCCTGAGAGGATGACACTATTTATTATTAAAAACGCATTGAATGTATGACAATAAATAATAGAAGGGAAAGGGTTGTAAATACCCATATCTATAAATAAATGGCAGAGGCCTAATAGCTGAATAATCTACATTTGTAATGAGTTTATGAAAATAATTAAACTCTGTACAGATCGCATTGAAAATAAAGGAAGGTTATTAGCCGATTAACGAGACCCAAATGGATACATTTCGGAAGCCAACTAAGTATCATCACAATTCACAATGGGAGCTAACACCTGGGACAAATGGTAACATCATAACATTTGGTTCGAAAAACATTTTAGTGACGAGATCATACTGTTATTTATGACTTAGATATATCCCTTGACATTAAACGGAACCTATTCCCTCCAAACATAAAGAGCCGCACAATACTTTCCCAAGAACCACCCCCAGACCTCTCGAACCATAGCTTATAGGAATAACGACTGATAGCTAGTTTGACATCTTTCTACAGATTTCGTCCCTCAGACGAGCGACCCAAGTTTATGCCTTCACTCACAGCACCCGTCAGAGCTACAAGACCTCACCCTCGGGCCCAAAATTAAGCCACAGCATATATTGTGAATTCGTCGGGATGACAGTTAATGTACCATTTCTGAGTGCGCCGCCAATCCGCGCATTTCTTCAGCGTCACATCTCACACGCTGCCTCAAAACCGTATTGCAAGTAATCACCGATGGAAGTCCCAAAGCTTGGTATCCGAGTCGCAGGAGGCCAATTCCACATCTTCGTGTCCCAAATAAAGCGGATCTCTACAAATGGTATTGCTTATGTACTACGACCATTGAGTAGCTCCGCAGAGGATCCGGTTAGACTCACAAAAACCAAGAGGACAGTGTTTAGCCAGCGTCAGAACGGAGAAAAAACCAAGGTCCATACGTGTTACGCAGATATGAAGAAAAACTTGGCTTCGAAGAATCCTTGAATGCATTGATGATAACATGGAGACTTGTAATTTGGCCTCAGCAAAGGCCGAAGGACGAGGACTATGAATTAATGCGAATAATTCCTTGGCGCAACCCCCCGCGACTCCCATCAATCATTTCCGAGATTTCGCCTATTGTATGTCGGACGCTGTCAGATGGTCATCCCTTCCACTCGCCTCTTCAAACGAAATGAAAGTATTGTTGATGGAATACCTTTCATTTCTATTGAAGAGGCGAGTGGAAAGGATTTGTAAGTTGATCTAACCGGAAGTTGGAGGGAGTCACCTTGGAGCTTTACGATAATTCACAAAGCACGAGGGCAAGAAAATCAGAATTTCCACATACTTACCAAATAAAAGTATGCCAACACCAAGGTCTCTGCCGTCAACTGAGAGTCGAGAGAAATATTTTTGGCTGAATGATAAATTACTTAGCTGGCACATCACATCAAAGCAGCATCTCTCCAGCAAAGTTCAAAAGAAGTATATGTTTCTAAGTCACATATACACCATCTGGTATATACAAAATCCCTCAGATATTACTCTTCCGTCATCCATTTTTTCATCTAACCCTACGGTTATACAAAAGCATCGGGCAGTTAAAAAGATACCTTTTTATGTTGCCTGGACGTTAGTTAATTGATAGTGCCAGAATAAAATGAGCAGCTTAAAACCTTAGTTTCAATCAATCAACTAATGACCTCAAACGAAGGTCGAATAACGCTGGTAGTGGCTCAGCAGACAAAATATTTTTGAGACTAAATTGAAAAGCCACTCGCATTGGTGATCGGTTTGTATTTTGGGATGGGATGTTTAGGAAAATAATCACTTAAGGTGGAAAGTGATTTAGGCGATAGTGGTGGCAACATACGATCAGTGAAGTACAAATATATACATTCTGCCGGCATAGCCTGACTCAGACAAAAATGGAGCCAAACAGTAGATAGCACCGAAAAAGATTCAATGTCACCGTCTGAATAATCACCTAATTCTAGCATCAGAATTCACTCATATCAACTGGCTTATGCGGGAAAGTTGTGATAGAGAAGACATAAGTAAAAAAGATAAACTTTTTGGTCGGTCTAGTTATCTAGTATGAGGGTCGTACTTATATCAAAGCATAGTATACATGAATAACCGACTGAAATTATTAATCGATGGATAGGTATCTGCTTGCAGTAATAGATCTCGACAAAAAGTTCTAATAACATTCAGAAAAGCCTAACAATAAGATGGCTGTCCCTATACACCACATTCTGGTTGATATTCGGGCATGCAAACGACAGGACAAAAAAAGCATTGAAAATCTGACAGCTGTGAACAATGTCTCAGGCGAATTGCTATAAGGCTGCGATGAAGGGTGAAGGTCGAGCACGAGATAACGTAAATATAAATTTACGATATAACAAAAGTTGGCGAAGAGGAAGAAAGGAAGTATAACAGGCATCATTAGTAGAGGTGATGGAGACGATTTAACCAAAATCCATGATAAGTGGATGGCTAAATAAATACAAGGAAACAATACAAAAGCCTACAACAGGGAACCGTTGG